TTATTATCTGATTATTTGAGACTTAGGATCTTATAATTTTATCACTAACAATCACAGCATTTCATAGTTTTAAAGTTGAAAGTGTAGGCTAAGGAATTACAATGGCTCAACATTAAAACAGAGTCTCTGACTCTGTGGTTTAACCCTGAGAAAGTTGCTAAACAACTTTCTTTTCCTTTTATCTATGTATTTTTTTTGAGCAGGGTCTTATGATGTAACTCAACTGTCCTTGAACCTATGGACTCTGCCTTTTGAATACTGGTATTACATCTGTGTACCACTCTATCTAGCTTTACTTAACTTTCTACTTCAGGATTTCTGTGCACAAAAGAATAATTTCATATTTCATTGGATTTTTTTTTTGTTGGGGAATTAGCAATGAATTCTCATGGACTTTTCTGCCTGAGATGGCTTTAAACCATGATCCTCTAGGTTTCAGCTTCCCAAGTAGCCAGGATAATAGGCTTGAGCTAGCAGCATTTGGCTTTATGGTGTATTTTTTTTTAAATCCTCTTCCCCTTTCAACATACTCCTTCCTTCCGTGACAATCTTTCAAAAATGTTTTTCCTTGCTCACTACTTTTATAAATATAAATGAGGTACTACACCACAGAATAATTTAGTTTGAAAACAAAAATGATAAATAAAAAAAGAGAGAGATTTAGTTCCTTATATTTAAGACAGGTAGGGAGGCCCCTCATCTTTGAATGACCTATATCTTACAGGGATAGGATTTACCCTCATTGGTCTCCTGGTAAGATACCAAGGTGGGTAGCTTTACATTATGAGTGTGTGAGCATGTGGCTATACTGGTGAGTATCCTGCGTGTGTCTCTGACTGCTCCAACAGGCCTTAGACTTGAGGGAAATGTGACTGGGGACAGCAAAATATATAGAACTTACACACTGCAGAATCCGTTTGGATGTCCTGTGGATAGATTTGACCTGCTTTACTAAGTTTCTGTCAATGGAGAGGAAAGAATCCTTAGTTCTTTGGGAATCTCAGGGAATCTCATCTGCTCTCATGGAAGATTTCATATTAAGATTTTGGTAATGCTCTGGCCTCAGAAGAGCCTGCTCTGTTGTTCGATAGCCTTTCCTATATTAAAAGCTGTGGGTAGTTTTGACATTAGCCACAACATAAATGGATACTCTCCAAGTGCCCATCAAATTTGTCTGGAATGTCTTCATGTTGGAAAGAGACAGGGTGTTTCAAGTCAGACAGACTTGAGATCAACTTCTGCTTGGAAAAAGTCACATCCTCCTAAATTTCAGCTCCCTCATTTATAAATGACACAATAATAAAGCCTTCTTTATAGGACTAGAGTAAACATTCAGTCAGAACCTCATGTAGAGTCCTTTGAAGACTGCCAGGCTTCAGGGTTGGCTAACTACCCATGAATCTATTTGTTTGCTTGTCCATCCATCCACCATTAATGCATATATATGTTTATATAAACATGTATATATACTTTTAATTTTAACCTGTCTTTTAATTCTATCTCAATCATCTATTTTTTTCTATCTATCTATAAATTATCTGCCCAATTTTTCAAATTGGACATATTGGCATGTTCAGAGGAAAAAAAACTTGTTTTATTTCAAATTCCAGTGGAATCGTTATGATGCTCAGAAAATTATGCAAGTATTTAGCCAAGAACTGAAGCAAAACAGCAATAGTAGTGAAGACTTCCTCGGAGCTTGCTCCGTTCAAAACATGTGATAGTTTAAATGGAATTGCATTTCAAATAATAGCATTCATTTGCAGGATCACAGCTTTTCTCTCATAGACTAGCAGTCTTTTGCATCTTCCCCCACCCTTCGAGCTACCGCAACAAAACTTAACAGTTAATTTCTAATAATGCCACCAGATAGCGAGTATAAGTCCCCTAGAAAATCATCTGCAACATCCCGAAGACACTCAAAGCACAGCCTGACTAAAGACCTCATTCTATCCTCAATTTGTACCTGTAACCCTAGCAGTTCCCTGTCACCGCCATACACTCGGCTGTACAAAGCCATCCATGCATCTATCTGTGCTCTATTCCTTAAGGAAAGTGCAAGGTGAGGGCCAGGCTAAGGAAAAAAATGTATTCAAAGGTTGGAAGTTATTGTGATCATTGTGCTGTCATGTGTTGCTTAGAAAATGCCTCAAATATCCCAAGCTTCAAAGCCTTATCTGCTGTGAACTTCCATTTATAATCCAGTGCACTGCATTCCTTATCTTCAGTACTTTCTGTGTGACTTGTGATTTGTGTCCTTTCTCTATGCTGGTGTGATGTTTCTCTGCTATGTAAATGCCAAGCATATGCCACCTTCTTATTTAAGGAGCTTTTGATGGCCCTGTCACCCTTGCAGGTGAGACCAATGTCTGCTGGACATTGTTTTGTTAATGAGAATTGAACCCAGAGCCTCTCATATGCTAAGCAAGTGCTTCACCACTTAAGCTTAGCCCCAGCTCCAACCATCCATCTGTCGAGCCCGTCTGTCTGTCTGTCTGTCTGTCATTGAGAGAGTCTTGCTTTTGTAGCTGAGGCAGTGTGGTCTCCTCCTCTTACCTGCTGAGTACTGGGACTAGAGGCATGCATTATCATGCCTTGCAAGACACTGTCTCATTATGGCACTTTCAAAGGCCTTTGGGATCTTGCTCCCTGCATCCTTAATCACTCATGACTGCCACATTGTGAATGCTTTGCATCCATATTTAATTACAGAGCACGTAAAAATGTGGTTTGGGCCTGAGTTCAGATTCTAGTTCACCACTTAGGCTTCTGGGAGTGTGTTGTGTGCCTTAGTTTGCTTATCTGTAAGATGGAATGACACCATAAGGGATGCTGAGAGTTAAATGAGCTAATACGTGCTAAGCATGTAGACTCATACCTGGCATATGATAAACTGCACATGAAATAAGCATTTTCTATAAACAGATGCGAGTTATTATTTTTTGTTAGCTACATGGTGCTAGATATTTGCACATGTTATTCTACCTAGAATGTCTCTTTAATCTTCAAACCTACTCCCCTCAACAGATTTCAATTCATCTCTCTCCAGATGCAATTTAAGTCTTATCACCTTGGTTTGCTGACAATGTCCATCTCTCCAACCCATGACTCAAGCAAGAGGTATTGTAGCACACTGAATTTATGATATACTCATATGTACAGAGGTTTCCTAGGGCTAATAGTTGTTTCCCCTTTTTATAGTCTCTGCCTTTTATCACTTCCTGCTATAAGGTAAGTTGCCAAAAAGCCCTTGTCTAAATGAATGAATATCTTCCCTATCAGGGAGAGAAAGATACATGTGTCATGAGCATAGGTTTGCAGGTCTTCAACTATTCATAACCTACTGCTTGGCATGTGCCCCAAAATGCTTTGAGTTGTTTGTAAATACGTTCAATATGGGGGAAATCCTTTGTATCTTAAAGACAACAACCAACATCTTACACATCTTAATGTTGTGAAATTGTGGCTCTCAACATCAGCTTGGAAGTCTCAGGACCAAACATAAAGAGCATTTTCAAAGCCTGAGAACTTTCTTAGAACCTTCTTATTATGAAACCACTAACAACAGCCCCTGCTCAGCCACCCTGACTGTGCTTCTTGTTTCATCGTGTAATACACACAAGTTTAACAACATGGACACAGCTTCTTCCTCTCTGTCCAATACACATTCATCAAAGAACACAAACTTCTCCATAAGGCAGAAAACAGAGAAAAGAAATGAAAAACAAAAAAGGGAAGATTTATTTGGTTCAGTAACTTTTCTTTTTTTAAAGGAAAAAAAATACACATGAGGCCAATTCACTGGATCCTAAAACCAAAGATGAAATGAAGCTGTTTAGCAAACCAGAATTCTGTTCCTTCAAAGCTTATGCCTTTATGGAAATTCTGCTCTATAAAAGTCAACGTTGAATGGGCATGAGATGTATTTAGACAGCACAAATTAACTCCTTAAGTATCATTGCAACTCCACATTGCTCTCTGGGAGTACACACCTTAAGGAGCTACTAAAACAAAAACAAAAACAAAACCATAAAACTGAATATAACTCAACAGTCCTGATAATTGATAAGGCATATACAATTGGTTCACCTGCATCCTTCTGATTCTCTATTTGAAAGAGAGAGCACAACAAGGAGAGAAGAGAGAGAGAAACAAGAACACATATGCAAGATTAATGAGCAAGTGGACCAAAATGCCCCCCAACTTATGCGTGATACATGATATTGGAAAGAAAAGGTTGCCCTTGCGTTCCCACCGCCCCAAAGTGTGGGGGCCAGCAAAAAAAGGCTCCTTCACAGAGGTGGAAAATGCTGCACAAATAGAAAATTAGTAAAATTAAGTTTAATGTGAAATCAAGCTATGAAACATACATGAACTGTTCAAATGACAATTAAGTCATATGTTCTAGCCAGAGCTCAGAGGACAAGGACAAGGCAAAATCTCCAGAGAGAACAAGGAAGCACTTCCCAGCTTGAGAGAGAATAGATAGGAGGCATGTAAGATCTAATTATTTTTATTTTTATTATTTTATTTGAATTTTTACAAAGAATGGACCACGGAGTGTGATCTCATACCCATAAAAGCTTGACATCTTAATCACGGAAAAGAAGCTATGACTTTGCCCCAAATGTCCTTTTATCTGCATTTCCCCCCAACCTAGCTGCTACCTTTTTATTGTGTACCAGTGACAAGCACTTTACAAATTAGGGTTACACACAAGCAAAGTAAAAATGCATTCAGGTCACAGACAGAGTATAACTGAAAAACTTACAGACACATCTGAGTTTATCACAAACAAATGGCTTAATTGTCTAACCTGTTTTAGGCTGATAAAAAGTGACTGGACTTCTCACACTGGGTTTCACAGACAGAACCAACAGACAAGCCAATGCTAAAAAACTTGAAGCAAGGAGAGTGAGTTGGTTTGGATCAGGATTTTCTTGAAATAATGTAAACAGAAAGAGTGAAGACAGCATGGCGAGGAGGTGGTAGGTACTCACGAATGGTTAAATCCATCACTTGGGAGGCCAAGCAGAAGACAGGATGCTCATACATTTCTCTCTTTTTCCCTATAAAAGAGGATTTGGGCATGCAAGAGGCTTAGGTCAGAGGTAAAGAGGTTAAAGGTCATAGGTTAGAGGAAAACGTTACATTAGCTCAAGGGAAAAATAGCCACAGAGTATTTTGGGATAAACACAGGATAAAAGGAAAAGGAGTTTCAAAATTTGAGATCTACTGGATTAACCATTCAGCATGCCGTGAGTCACGACCATGATTTTACACGTCTCTTTAGAGTTGTTGGTAAGAATACAATGACCAAAAAACATCATGGATAAAGGGAAACAGGATTTTACTGATTTAAGGCTCCAAGATACTAAGGATTTCAGACTTTAGTATCTAAGGCTCTTGAGGTATTTCTTCATAAACATAGTCTCCAGCAATATTACTACAACGTCTTTCCAAAATTCTCAGGTAACTAAGAGCTTAATGCTTACAGAGTGCTATAAATGTAAAAAAAAAAATGGCACATTTCTTTTCTGAGGTAGGATCAGAGCCTTGTGAAAGAAAGCTGTCTGGTAGTAATATCTTTAAAGCTGTAATATCCCAGCCCATGGTGGACTATGTTCATGAAAGAAAACCCAATACATGCAGCCAGAGGATGTTGGGTTGTTTGAATTAACAATCCCAGCATGCTTTGAAATTGGTGTCTCAGCCACTTTTGCAGAGGTCACAGCAAAAAAAGTGGCTGAGCCAATCACGGACAAGGAAGGAGAGAAGCAGAAGAGAGCAGGTAGTGTGGAATGAGGTACTTCTCTGAAAAGAGAGTTGGAAAAAAAAAAAAAAAAAGGATTGGTTTCTTCAAAGAATCCCCAGACCTAAAAGTCACAGTGCAAAAGATAATTAACACAACCAAGAAGAATTGAGGCACAAAAGGAAATTACAGACCAGCTGATCTACTTTGGAAATGAATGCATTTTTACTTACAGATCTTAAAGTTTGTTATTGGGTTTATTTATCTGAAAGAAGAGAGCAGATCTTACCAAAAGACTACTAAGAACTAAACCAAGAGCTCTGAGGCAGCACCCGTGGCAACTGAACATTTCTTGATTCCATCCCATCTCTGGCTTTGCCTAGAATGATTAGGAACCTGGTTCACTTTACCCAATCAAACCAATCTTTATGTCCTGGGATGGTAAATGCTGGAACAATGATTTGCTGCTTACAGCCCTTTAACAATCTTCTTGTTCCTCTATTTTTGTCACTCATTACCAAGTCAAGAGTTGATAAACATCCTTTTAGTGCCCAATTCTTAAGTGTTTCTCCCTGGATGCATAACAATGAATTCATTACCACTGGTACACAATTTGCATTGTCAGATAGACAAAATTGAGAGGAGGAGGAAGAAATGTAATGCACAGAATGCTGCACATTTGACATGATCTTCACCTAATTTACTAAGGAAACAAGGACTTTGGCAGGCTAAGTGAGGGAGTCTAGGTGGTTGGTTAGTTTTGTTTTTCCTTCCTCAGGCATGTCCTGAGGTAGGCCATGTGCATTTGTTGGTGGTAGTTGGGTGTGGTGTGTTTTGTGTGTGAGAGAATGTCAGATTCCAGAATGCGGACACACCAGGTTTTACACACATAACTTCCACATTTATACACTTACACCACTGGGTCAAGTTGGGTGTGGTTTTCAAATCACCCTACAGCAGCCAACAGGGTAACAATGAAAAGTCATTAATACCTTTGCTTATGAATAGGCCCCTGAGAACCAGACCCTCTCAAATAGAGTTTATTCAAAGTGCCATTTGGGGGATTATGTGGTGTCACCAGTGACCTCCTCCCTAAAACTCCAGAAGACAGAAATTATAAGAATCCTAGGTCTATACTAGCAAGACTGAATGAGCTCTCAAGCTAAGTTGGAGCCCCCAGAGAGGGCTTGACACTAACCTGACACCAAATTTCAAATACTCCCAAAGAGACAAGAAAGAGGTAAGCAGTGCCTTGAAGTTGTATCACTCAAGTCTTTTTCTTTCTTTTTAAAAATATTTCCAGTGCTATCAGCAGCAGCCATCAATCAGACTGCTTCTTCTCCCACTTCTTCAAGGAAGTGTTTGATTATTACCAAATTCCTTCATAGGTAAGCATCAGCCACAGAGCAGAAATTTAGGGGCAACATAAACCCTCCGAAGAATCTTCATCATCACACCCCTTAGTCGATAATCTGCCCTTACAAAGGCTGTCTCCTGAGCTTCTGTTGGTCTTTTTGTTCATTTATTTCTCAGTCAAGGCCAAGGAAGGTTCCACATTTCAAGTGCTTTCAGGTTTTAGCTTAACATACTCAGATACAGCACTGTTTTCTGTTGCCCAGCAGAAAAGACAGAGACTTTCCCAGGGAGATATATACCAATGCCAATTAAAAACTGGGACAATGGGAGCCTTACCTTCGATTTTGGCATACTCAGAGAGGCGTGAGTAGTTGACCAGAGCAGCCTGCTCTAGGCATTTGCGGATGACTGTTTTTACTTCCTCTTGTGGCACTGGGGTAACAATATCTTTCATCAAAACCTTCCGGCAGAAAGAAGGAAAAGGGATGATTAAGAAAGTTCAAACCGTGCATTATTATTCATTTCTACTTCTCTACTACTTCAAGTTTGAAATGAGTTCTTATAACTTACAAAGTGCCACAGTGAGAAAGAAAACCGAAAAAGAAAAGAAAAGAAAAGCTATGCGCAGCACGGAGGGCAAAGCCCAGTCACAAATCAGGGAAGGGCCATAAAGATCTTTTTGGATGTCTGGAGATAAAATGTCTTTTCTTACTTTTATAATGGCATTTGATAAATGGCAAACATATCCTTTGAAAATGACAAACTAGGTCATTCGATTATAATATTTCTTTACAATCATGGCATATCTAGCTCTTCCTTGGCCTTTTGCTTTTATTCTTACCCTTTCCAAGAGTGAGAGAGTAGCTTTTAAAGCACCTTCCGGCCGACCAAATGGAAAGCAATACCTAAAAAAAAAGAAAAAGAAATTCTTTAGGTTGCCCAAATTGATTACTTTTTAGCAGGAAATATGCTGCAATCAGATTCCTATAGCAACTCTTGCTGAGGAGCGGAAAATGCTTTTTATTTTGTCACATTGTGTTATGTTAATCTGAATTCACACCCTATATGTGTGTATATAATATATATATGTGTATGTGTGAATAATGACTAAAGAAGGACTCTGCAAATGTCTGCAACAGAAAAGAATACTTCAAGTGATGACATAAGGCTCTGTTTAGATTTCTATTGTGAAGAAGACTCATTAGTTCGTGCTAATGTTACCTTACATATTATTATAGAGCCCAGAACTAAAAAAAAAGACTAAAATTAAAATACAGTTTTGTAAGCCCCATGGGATAAATGTATGAACTAGAGTAATACAGTTAGAACACATTCATGATCCTGAGAACTGTCCTTCCTAGTTTGCATTTTTTCATTGTTATTGAATCTCCTGCGATTGGTTGTAGATTTTTTTCTTACATGTAGTATAGGAACAAGAAGGCATTGTTTGTCAAAAATCTCACTCCATGGAAAAGGAAGATTTGGGTGAGACAAAGAACAATATGTTGGGTGCCACTATCATTTGCAGTGCTGTTTTAGGGTGTGTCGAGCCCTTCAAAACACTGTCCACAGTACTTCACCTATCTAAGCTTACCAGGTTCTGAGATATAAAACATGAGTTAATAGATTTTTTCCCCCCAGTCTCCAGTCCTATAGGAAAAAAAAAACTGTCATATTGAAACTGTTTAATAAATAGGAGCTATTATAAAGACCTGTTTTAAGTGCCTATTTCAGGGTCTCTGATCCAAAAGCATAGCATTAAACTTGCCCTGATAACCAGAGTCAGCTCATACAAAGACTGAAATGAAATGTACCTATGAATCTGAAGTAGGCTCGCTGTTGCAGAACCCTGACCAGTGGGGCTTGCCTTTTGTATTCAACTTTTTCTAATGGTTTCATGTATCTCTGATAGATTTAGAGGTTTGGGAAACTGAAATCCTTGGTTTGTGTCCCCTTCCCACCTCCCCCAGTTCTTACCCTCCACATATGCCCCTAGACCCCAGATCCTTACCTAAAATGAGTAATCTGATTTTCCAACAGAACTCGGAGTCTCTCCTTGATTTCTTCAAAGCGTTCCTTTTCTTCAACAGTCACTGTTCCAATCCCATCAGGCCTGAAAGAAGACACGTTTTGAAGTGATGGGAACCTTGTAGGCTGACACCCTCTAATCAAATCTGTAGCAGGAGGAACTTGTCCATTTCAGAAGTGACAGCCACCTTGATTGCTGTGACTGGAGGAGAAGCCCTGCCATTCCAGACAGGCTTCTAAAGTGGATGGGCTGTGTTAGAGAAATTCTGCAGACATTTGCAGAACTGTAACTCATTTCTTATCAAATGATGAAATGTACCAGGTGGTACCGTGAAGGTTAAGTCCAGTTCTTACACTGCTCTGTTTGGTTTATAGCTTCCTAAAATATTTGCCCTAGTTACCAATATTGTGTTTTTGAAATTAGGAAAATTACATAATCCAGTTGTAATTTCTGATTTCCCTTGAAAGCTGAAAACAGTTGGCTGGTATTCTTGGGCCAGTGACAACTGACATCTTCCTCAGCTAAGGTGACCACTCAGTTGGCTCACTAGCTCTAGTTTGGATTCCTGAACTAGGCACATCAATTCCTATGAAAATTAATGCCTCAACACAGTGTCTCACTCCGTGTTAAATGTTCTTAAACGGCTCAAATTATATTTCAGATTAATTTATGCACTCACGTATTAATTGCAAAGGCAAACTACATGTCTTCCAATTTTGGTGAATAACCCATTGGAACACAGAGAAAGCCACTGGAATGTGTACATGATGAATTGCATTGTAATCACAATATTCTCATTGTTCTGTGTCACCGCTGTACACATATATGTCACCCGAGTTTATTATGGGGCCATTCAAGTTGGAGATATAAAGTGAAGTTGCATTATTTATAGCCCAGATTTATACGCGCCAAATTAGATACAGGATAATCTGACCCATTCAAAGCCTTTCATTTCCCTGATTTCTAGTGACTTGTTTTGATGACTGGCTGAACTAGTTCGTAGATTGGTTTGTCACCCTGCAACTTCCACTGGAACATTCCTCAGTTTGCAAATGTGAGTCATGATGAGACCAAACAAATGGTTGTTATTTATAGGCCTTCTCAAGGAACCCTAAGAAGTTAACTAATACCAGTCTGACTGCAGAAAAGATCAGCTTTCAAATAATAAAAATGATCCTATTTAAAAATGAAAACAATCTCATCCTCACAAAACCATCCCTGAAGAGTAAAATCCTGTTCAGTCTATTTCTTCACATGAATCCAAACTCACAGTAAGAAACAAGTTAAAATGTCAAATACCAAACAGGCTGTGAAATACAGGGGTATGTGCCCTTGCTTTCAAGACTCCCAGAAAAATCTCAGTGCATGTTTTCCAATTTTGAATTTCAACACTACTTCAAAATTTATTAGGTTTTTTGGCTTTATTTTACTTTTCAATCTATAATCCTGGAGTTAAATACCAGGATTTGGCCCCCACAATCCATGTCAGACTTTCTCTAGTTACTTACCATGTTTGAAAGTTATAGTTCTGGCATTTACATTTTCTCTTTTTTTAAAAAATTTATTGTAAAGGTGATGTACAGAGGGGTTACAGTTACATAAGTCAGGTAATGAGAACATTTCTTTTTTTTTTATTGTGAAAATACTGTACAGAGGGGTTACAATTACACGGGCAAGATAATGAGTACATTTCTTGTCAAGCATTGTAGCCTCCTCCTTTGTTTCCCCTTCCCATCCCTTCCCATCCTCCCCCCCCCTCCAACCCCACAGAAAAGTTGTGAAGTTCGTTTTTGACATCATGACTTGTACATCTCATTGTTGCAATGGGTCCACCTGTATCCCTATTTAAACAAGTTGTTTTTTCCCTTCCCCTCTACAAATTATAACAACATCAAATCAGGGGTGATACTGTGGGGGAGGGACATACAAAGCAACAAAGAAATAATCTTATAAATGTGTTAGAAACAATCGCATGAAAGAAAAAAACATTTGAATACATATCTTAGGGTTCATTTCCCTAACATCAACTTATCTGACCTTTTCTGCTTGACTCAGACATATACTAGTAATTGCAAATAAGGGAAACCATGGGACCTATGTTTCTTTGGGCCGGCTTACTTCACTTAATATAATTTTTTCCAAGTCTTTCCATTTCCTAACAAATGGGGCAATGTCATTCTTTCTGATGGAGGCATAGAATTCCATTGTGTATATATACCACATTTTCTTGATCCATTCATCTACTGAGGGGCATCTGGGTTGGTTCCATATCTTAGCTATGGTAAATAAGGCTGCAATAAACATAGTTGTGCTGGTAGTACATTTCTTTTTGAACAATGTCATCCCTTCCTTCATTTTCTCCCAGTTTTTTCTTTACTCAAAATTCAGCTTGCTGATTCACTGAACACACATGTAACTGGCATGTATATTATATGTGCATGCTTGACTAGGGGAAAATCATTTTGTTTCTTAATATAAGGTTAATCCAGAGAAAAAATATTATTAAATGTAATTTATAGTTTAGGGAGGGGCTTACAGATCAAATCAAAATTGTCAACACCATTTAGCAGGGATAGCCCAGAGATATCTGTGGCCTTTATTAAAAGAGAAACTTCTCTGTTAATCAGATCTTTCATTTATTATGTAAGAAGCATTATAAGGCTGGTAGCCTTTTCATTTGTGTTTGAGATGATAAGAACTGAACATTTATATGTATCTTACCTTCTTGGCTAATTCTCACTATTCAGGGTATTATTACAAAATGACATTTGATTGTACTTTCTGTCTTTTGTTCTAATGATTCACATTTGTAATTATTAAAGGTATCAGAAGGTATAATTCATGGGTCTGGTTACTGGCAACTTGGGAGGCAGGACTAGAGAATTATGGTTTGAGGTCAGCCTGGGCAAAAATGGAGATCCTACGTTGAAAATAACTACTGCATACAAACAACTGGTGGAATGGCTCAAGTGATAGAGTATCTGCTTGCCTACCAAGTATGAGGCTCTGAGTTCAGATTCTATTGCTACCATAAAAGGCATCAGAGAGAAGCCTGTACTTATTTTCTGTTAATAAAGAAGAATGAGGGGGCTGGGAAGGTGGCTCAGTGGTAGAACGCTTGCCTTGCATGCCTGAGGCCCTGGGTTCGATTCCTCAGCACCACATAAGCAAAAAGATAAAAGCCGGAAGTGGTGCTGTGGCTTAAGTGGTAGAGCGCTAGCCTTGAACTGAAGAGCTGAAGGACAGCGCCCAGGCCCAGAGTTCAGGCCCCCACGACCGGACCCCCCCCCCCCAAAAAAAAGAACGAAGCCAGATAAATACAATAAAATAAATAAAATAAAAAGGAGCACAGCTTTTACTTCTTTTTGTGGATTTTCTTCCAAACAGTTAATCTCACTATTGGAAAAAAAAGCAAATGACTAAAATAATCCTGCTGCAGTTTCCTTATTTTTGCTTCCTGATTACCTATATTAGTGTATATAGCTTTAGTAAAACGAACTAACCTCACTCAGGCTGTAAAAGGTATAGTACAGAGTTCACCAGCAAAACAAGGTGATAAAACAAATTGTGATGCATTGCATTCATAAACTGTCATGCCGAGTCAAAATTCCTTTAAACAACTACTTAACTATAAAAAATAAAATAAATTGTGATTTTTGGACATCAACTGCAAATTTCTTTACAATTGCTAGAATTGCTTTGAAATGCTGTTGGTGGCAGGAAAGACACTGAGGATGAGAGACCTCCTCTCCCCCTGAACTATCATTTGTCAAAGACTTCTTACCATATTAGTTTAAAAGCACAAACATCCAATTTTCAACTGATTTCACTATTAAAACAAAACGAAACACTGTCACACGGGAGTTTCCTTCCCTCTGTAATGTGTCAGTTTTAACTAGCCAGGCTTAGCTGCTGAGTGAGGCATTCCTGGCTAGTATTTTGGGGACCACTGGTTTTCAGAGTAGAAATGTGTACCTTTTCCTAGGGCAGTGGTTCTCAAACCTGAGCATGCCTCAGTGTCACTTGGAGGGCTGTGATAACTTAGACTGCTGGCTGGGCGCCACTCAGAGTCTTTCAAGTTTGGGCTAGGGGTTGAGAATTTGCATTTCTTACAAGTTCTTTGGTACTGCTGGCTCCAGGGCCACATATTATGAACCATTTTCTAGAGGGGGAAAAACAAAATCAGACGAAACCTTAGCACAGGATCTGCCAGGGACTGAAGCAACACCTTATGCTAGCTAAGCAAGTGTTCTTTATACTTCTAGTCCTTTTGCTATTCAGGTAAGAGTCTCCATAACTTTTCCTTGGTCTGACCTCTTACCTCTACCTCCCAAATACCCATGATTATGGGCATCTACCACCAGGCCTAGCTGAAAGAGTATTTTTGATTTAGGGTTCTCAGCTTCCTAAGTTTGGAAGGAATTTGGATCCAGAGACTGCAAGGGTACACGGTCTACTTATTAAGCTTCCAATTCTTTCCAAAGAGATATCTGCACCGTTTCCAAGGTACAGCCAAGCAACCCCGGCTGCCAAACCATCACAGCAGAACTGTCTTAGCTCACAGAGGCCACGTTATGTGCTTTTTCTTTTTTTTCTCCTACAAACAAGAGAGTGCTACTAAAATTGTCAAGAAACTGGCTGTGTCTTGTGTCATTTCTTTGTCAATATTTTTAACACGTAGGAAGTAGCAGAAAATGAGAAGAGAGGAAAGATAAAGCTGGAATTTAAAATTTTTAGCTAGAAAGACCTAGGGTAGGATATGTCTTTCTGCCGTCTAGGAGACTCCTTTTTCATGTCTGTCCTATTCCTCAAATCATTTTTTTTAAAGCTTTTCAGTAAGTCTTTCCTTCCTTTTTTTTTTTTTTTTTGTCAGTTGTGGGGCTTGAATTCTGGGCCTGGGCACTGTCCCTCAGCTCTTTAGCTCAAGGCTAGCACGCTACCACTTGAGCTACAGCGCCACTTCCGGTTTTCTGGTGGTTTATTGGAGATAAGAGTTTCACAGACTTTGTTGCCCAGGCTGGCTTTGAACCTTGATCCTCAGATCTCAGCCTCCTGAGTAGCTAGGATTACAGGTGTGAGCCACC